TTTGAAGTTGCTTAACATGTAATGCATGAAAAGGAAATAAAACCACAGTTTAATTTAGATTATTTCATATCAGATGAGCCGTTTTGCTGTTCCTTTCAAAAACTGCTTGCTTTGCAAAGTATTTGACTCACGTGGAGTGTCTAGCTAGCACTTCAGAGATGAAAATAGGGAACACACAATGAAAACCTTTTTGTTGTTAATTAACATAACAGCACTCTGTGGAAGATTAATGCAAATTATTGCAATTTATGTGCACGACTTCTGTTGAAATGGAACAAAACAAAAAGTTAGTTCCCTGCTGAAAAAATGCAAGCAAAGGGAGCCAAATAAAATTGTCATCCCTTTGTCTTTTGTTAAGTTTCCACTTAATCTTGCTTAACTAGATTGCTGTGCAATGAAACGTTTTTGTCGGTGTGTGTATGATCAGCTGGGTGGTTGTCTTTAAAAATATACTGTGTATCAACATATTTTAAGCTTCTATCTAATCCTGTTCATATGACAAGGCAATTCATTAGCTGTGGAATGAATGGTATAGAAATTGTTGATTAAAGGCAAAAAGAAAATCAACTAGCTGGTGTTAGCAATCCTAGTGACTTTTATTTTGAATGTGAAGTATCTAAGGATGTGAATGAGAATGAAAATAGGTTTTTGGAATAGCTTGGTTTTAACGGGAGTGGTCATGGTCTCACAACTGCACTGCAGGAAACATCATTTGTAACACTTAGTGCTCCTGGCAGAATCATGGTGATGTTTCAAGAATAAACTTTTTCCCATTCTCCAGTGTAATTCTTCTTTGTAATTCAACTTTTTAATTCCAGATTCCTAGAAAGTCTAAACTGGCTGTTCACAGAAATATCAGAGATGATGAAGGCTTTATTATCCGACATTTTGCAGGAGCAGTATGCTATGAGACGGTAATTTTACTTACGCAGAACTGTTATTGTTATGCCTTGTAGTGCTTTTATATTTTTAGTGTGTATAGGTTAAATAACAAAATTTCCTTTCATCAGAAGATGCATTCAAAAGTTGATATGTCTTAACTTTGAAACTGATTTTGTGGGTATGTGACAGAATTGACAGTTTCTTTTAACTTCTCAGAGTACGAGCTGTTTTGGAAGCCTATATTTTGTGTAACAGTTTGCTATAAATCTATAGGTAATAGTGTCAATATTAAATATATTGATTCATGATCTAGTGCAAATCTTACATCAACTGATGTTTGCATCTGCAGGAGAGGAATGCACTATGTGATATAAAAGTATTGTTAGACTCTAAGAGTAGCTTTTCGGAAGCATGCTTATCCTTGTATGCAATCACTGTTTACGTTATATTAAAAAATCACATTTTACACTTTTTGTTTTCCGCTTCTACTGGCAATAGAATCATTCATGTAAGAATATGAAATACTTGAAATTGCTACCCTCAAAATACATTCCAGATCCTTCTATTTTTTGGGCTATTCAGCATACAAAAACATTGAAACATCTGAAGCCAGTATTTAATTTATTTTTTTTTTTTAAATTAGAGTTTAGGATAAACAGAAGATGCATAATGCTTCGTTGTTCTGGTCTGTAACTCCAGTGTATAAGAGGGAAGCTACTTCCAAAGATGTTTTTTTTATTATAATTTGAAAATGTGTACTTTAAGGGCTTGTTCTTATTTACTTCAAAATACTACAAGAATGATAATGATTGCTGGGCTGTTTTGAAGTAGGTACATTCTGTAGGTCATTTTACAAACAGGAAAACTGAAGTCTCTGTGTTACCTAACTGATTTTTCTGGGGTCGCTCAGTGAGCCATTATTAAAATAATAAATAAAATTGGAACACGTTTGTTCGAAGTGTTCTATGTTTAACTGTGTACCTCAGCATGGTATGTTAATAATACTTTAGAGTGTCTTCAGGAACAGAGGAGCCAGATATGAGTGCATAAGCTGTGCTGTCAGAGCTAATCAGATATGTGGTAGCTTTGGTCCAGAAGCTTGCTAATATGCTTGAGTTAATTTATCCCTTCCCTCAGAGGGACTTAGGTTGGGCCTTAAAATTTTGGACTATAACTGCTTTGTACCTCACCTGTTATTTGTTTCTGGAGAGAGACTTTTTACAAGGGCATGTAGTGATAGGACAAGGGGTAATGGCTTTAAACTGAAAGAGGGGAGATTTATATTAGATACAAAGAAGAGATTCTTTACTCTGAGGGTGATGAGGCACTGGAACAGGTTGTCCAGAGAAGTACTGGATGCCCCATCCCTGGAAGTGTTCAAAGTCAGACTGAATGGCGCTTTGAGCAACGTGATGTAGTGAAGGTGTTCCTGCCCATGGCAGGGGGATGGAACTAGATGATCTTTAAGGGTCCTTGCAACCCTAACCATTCTGTGATTCTATTTCTTATTGCGCTTGTGGCAGTTCTCACAATCTGATATGTGATGAGGATGCTCATCTGGCAGGATTCATATTGCAGTCTTGTGTTTTCAAAGTTCAAGGGAACTTTGGAGGCTTGTGTTTGTCCGTTGATTCTCATCTCCTTTAAATCCTTTTATGGAGTATCTGGCAAATTCATATTTTCTTTGAACTAGTCTTGGCCTCTTCTGTTCATAAATATCAAAGTCACTATTAAAGTTGCACCAAAAGCTATTGAGAATTTTGCTAGTGTGAAATTGGATGCTAGTGTCTTGATTTCTGAATTTCATTGTAATGTATTGTTCTTAATTTCTAAAAGTTTGTGAGCCAATTTAAATAAACCAGAGAGGTAAGGTTTGTAGGAAGGACAATGTCTTATTAAATCAACTGTTCTTAAATAATCACAATATTATTAAAATAACCATTTTTAATTTCATTTTCCAAACTGCGTAGATGTGTCAATTAAAGTGTGCATGTTAATTCCCATTTCACAACAGATCTTAAGTGATATTACAAGTAGTGAAGAGTTATGCTTCTCAGAACTCCCAAGTCATGATGTGCTTAGTGCTAGAAACAGAAACCAAGAGGACAACTGATTTGTTAAAAAGCACTAAACTTTACCTTGGGTTTCATGATTCCAATAACATCCTTCAAATTTAAGAATGTCTTTTCTCTCTGTCATTAGTGTTTTGTGTGTCCAGTTGAAAAGTTGTTTGAAATAATGTATGAATATTTACTCTACGTATTCCTGCTCATTTTTTTTACTTAGGTCTTAAAGAAAATGGAAGAAAACAAAGTTATATACTTAATTAACTGGAGCAGTGAAACAAATGCGCTGTTATGTCTTGGGTTGTCTTTTCAGATGCAATTTGTGGAAAAAAACAATGATGCTTTGCATATGTCCCTTGAATCTCTTATATGTGAATCTAAGGACAAGTTCGTTCGACAGCTGTTTGAATCGAACACTAACAACAACAAGGATCCCAAACAAAAAGCTGGGAAACTTAGTTTCATCAGCGTGGGAAACAAATTCAAGGTAACATAATATAGCAAAGAATCTTCTTGTAATATGTTTTTTAAGTTACCTGAAAGAACCTAAAGGTGAGAGAACTAGTGGTAACTTGAGATTCAGACAAAGAAAGTTTTGTTAAATAGACGTTTTTTTCTGTTGAATTGTAAGAAACCAGTACATTAAAGCTATGTGCTATGTGTTTCTGTCAAAAAGATGTTTCATAATAATCCTTACATATAGTAATTTTTAAGTCAGATTTTTGCAAAGCCTTGGAAGTCTTTATTCAAAAGAGATCTAAATTTGGCTTCTTGGACTTTACGTGGTTCTAAATGTGACAAAAGGTATTCTTCTGTCCTATATTAGTTGTGCATTCTAGAAGATGTATCAATTGGCTATGGTTCAAAATTCAATACCTAACCTAACCACTGTTTTTCCTCTTCTAAAATATAAAGGTAGTCATGACTTTCACAGAAAGATGTTCATTGTGCTGAATGTTTCCTTTCTCAATACCTGAATCTGATGCTTCTCCTCATTTTCTCCTTTCTTCTACTTGTTGTAAAGCTGACCTTCAAACCTTGTCTTCTCCAAATGTTTTCTGCATCCTTTTCTCATTCAGCAGTTTTATTTTAGCTGGACTATTCCAGCTCAGGATGGCTAGAAAGAGAACTATAGGGGAATTAAGAGATGAAAAGCAGGCACAACCGTGGGCTGCAGGTAAATTTTTCAATCTCATGGATTTACTGTTGGTAGAGCTGCTGCAATTTCAGCAAGAGCTCTTCTCAACACATCTGGGCCAGATCCAATGAAGGATTTGTATGCCTTCAAGTCAAGTGCTGCAACATTTTTGGTATGCTGTCTTACCTCGGGCACCTAAAACCTCGCATCATGCTCCTAGCTAAACTCTTCATGCAGTTCCTGAGGAAAGCAGGTATCTTAGACAATCCAAAAACCTTCTTGTAGAGTGGGGCACTACCAATACCAGAAGGGCATTTCTGCATTTCTGCTCCATGTCAAGGTTAAGTGCTGAATCAGGACTGCAAGATAAATTCCTTCTTGCATAATTGTATCTTATGGCTCATGCTTAGAACTGTTCTCTAAAAATGCAGGGGCTGAAGAACAGGAAGGGTTCTTCAGTGGTAACAACACTTGCTTTTGATACAACAACAGTACTCTGCTTCAGATCTATACTGTATTCAGTGTTATATGTCTAACATGTTTCCTGTAACACCAAGTTATTGGTCAATCTGACAAAGAAGATTCTCCTTATACCCTTCTGGAGATGGGTTGTTATTTAGCCAGCAATAAAATTTTGATGGGGCCAGGAAGAGTAGGAGACAGAGCCTGTCTTGTAAGGTAGTGGTTTTGGTATTTAACTGGGAAATGGACAACCTGCTGTCTTGAGTTTTGCTCTGATGATTATTTCCTCCTCCTCCTCCTTATTATATAGCGGTTGTAGAATTAAACTGTAGCAATTGATTTAATATAAAATGCATGATCAGAAGGCAAACTGAAAAATGACAGTAAGCCATCTCCTGAGCAAAACCTGCAACCATGAGTCTGTTGTAGGTGAAGCTAGGATCTACTGTTTTTTGTAACTGTGTTTTCAAAATGAAACCAACTGTGGGATCTTTGAGATAGTTTCCACTTTCTTCCATCTGGGTTTTCAGTTTCTCTTGGATTTAGCACCCCACATCCAATAGATGTGGATATGTGAATGATACCATTGTCCAAGGAGGGCTGAAGTAGAAAGGAAGGCATTTTTTAAGTTAAGCAGCAACTGAGTGGGGAACTTTGTGGATTGCCTTTTGGACTTTGGTGTTCTTCTCTGTACATAGAACATGATTAAAGTCCTCTTTGGATCTGGCCCATTAATCTATTATTCTTTCAATGTTTTCAAGTTTCATGGCATTTTGAATGTATGTGTTACTTCCAGTAATTCGTTTAGTGTTACCTTCCCAGACACAACATATGCTGCTGATGAACACTAATAGCCTTGAAAATTTTACTTCAGATGACATCCAAATAAGTTCTATTATCTTAGTAGAAATTTCATCTCTTTAAGAATAAGAATTCTTAGTGCGTCAGTATGTAAGTCAGTCTCAAATTTTTCTAATTACATCAATTATTAGATGATGTTGCAGAGACTTCTCTTTATGAAATCCTTCACACGTCCCTTCCTTATAACTAATTAAAATTAATTCTCATAAATCAGTTGAGGAAATAATGATTAATTAGTTCATCAGATCTACTCAAGAATCTTTGGGATGATTTTACCTTACTATGGTAATGATGGATTAAATCGTGATAATTCAAAGAGCAGTGGTTTTAGCAATGTTTTATTCATATGATCATTTCATTAATGAAATTTACCTGAGAATGGCTCTGGCTTATTTCTTGTTAAATCAGAGTATAAGGAAGGGGTATTTTTCCTCTATCAGAAATGTATTTTGTTGATGGAAATTAGGCTGTTGCTTCCAAAATTAAGCGTTTCTAACTTAAGAAAACATAAAGATTGTATTCAAGTATAGATATAAAGAATATGTGTAAGTGAGAACTAAGCAGGAGGTTATTAGTGTTTGTCATGCCTCTTATGGCAATCCTTTTCTCTTTCTAACCATGTCCATGATCAGTTTAAAAAAAAAAAACAAAACCACCACCAATTTTATGCAATGGAAGGACGGCTGGCATCTGTAGGTGACGCATATTAGCCATACAAATCTGGTTTCTTGGATTCAAGGTAATTGAAAGATCTGTTTAAAAAATTAGTCAAAAGGCAGATCCTTTCAATTTTGGTTCCTGCACAGAAAATGAGGAATATGTTAGGACATACAGAATTTTGTCTTATTTCAGTCTATATCCTTAAAGCTTGCTAGTAAACTAGAAAGACTGGCACAGCAGTAATCTGTGTGATCAGACGCATCTGTAAAGTAAAAATATGACTATTTTCCTGATGTAGTTCTGGAGTATTTTAAGTCTCTACCAATTACATTCAACGGCAACTGTAACTTGTTTTCCTTGATAGCCTTAAGTTTCTGGTGATCCTGTGGACTTGCCCCCACATAATCATAGGAGGACTGTGGTCTTTTCTCATCGCAGCATGTTTAAATCCAGCCTCAGTAAATGTGCTTTTAAAGTTATAGTCTATTGTCATCAACAGAGAATTTAAAATTTGGAAGTTTGGAATTAAAACCAGATTATGCAGATTCATTTGCCTAAGTGTTGACTTAGCTTCAAAAAAACCAAGAAAACCCTCAGCGTATGTGTTTTCTGTGTTAATTATTTAACATACAAATATATGCTAATTACAGACTAAATTCAGGCTTTCAGAAATTTTCAGAGTATTTTTTTTTAAGATTATTGCTGATCAGTCTCATTTGTAATTTTATTGCATAGCCATTATTTCCTTTATTTTCCCAAATGGACTTGCACTTTTTTTGGATAACTATGTTGTAGTGTGTAACTAGTCCATACAGTATTGTACAGTTAAACCCAAGCAATTTCCTCAGCACCATTCATGCACACTTGCATGATTTTGTCTGTAAAATTTGTGAACATTTGATTTACTAACAGTGAACATGCATGCAGTAATGCTGTACCCATTATTCTGTTTGTCTGTTTCTGTAGTTATTATGGTAAGACTCTTGAAATACCTGCTTTCTTTTACAGACTCAGTTAAATTTGCTTCTTGAGAAGCTTCACAGTACTGTAAGTATATATACAGATGCAAGTTCATAATTTTCTGATGCAAATCATAGTAGATTATCTCAATTACATGCCTTACAATAAATGCGATAAGTAATTGCTTTAGAGTTTGTGGTTATATGGCACTTTTAAAATGTCTTGCTGCGCAGGTGATGATTATCGAGTTAATTTAAAAAAACCCACCACTTTTAAGAAGTTGTTGTAGAATGAAAGTTACACAATTTGAGTAAATAATATGAAATCTGTCTGGGCTACAGTGTCCTTTTTTGTCACTTTACTGCCTTCCTTTCACTGGTTATCATTTATGACTAATTTGCAGAAGATGTAGAGATGTTATTTAGTCAGGCAGATGATAATTGATTATTAATTACTGTTTTCAGGTTCCATAAAGCTGTTCAAAATAGAATATTTCATTTCACTTTTGTGATAGGCTGTAAATGCACATATGTTCAAAGAACCTGATTTCCCTAGTGAGCATTTGCTAATTTAGCTGATGTAATTTGATAGTTTGTGGAATTCTCTATGTAGTTCAACATACCCATTTTTTTTTTTTTTAGAACTTGGTGTTGTAGGAACATGTTCTTGTTTCTCTTGACTACATGTTATAACCAATTCTAGATATAAGGTTATGTATTGTTAGTATAGAGGTCCCTTGGCAGGTGCTCTCTCACTCTCAGCTGCGAAATGGAAAAAGAGAGAAGACACTGTAAACCAGGACTAGTGTTATGTTTTCTCAGTCCCAGTTTTGTTTTAGTGTATAAGGTAGGTTATCATTAGCAGCCACCTGTTGTAGGAAAATCTGACTAATTGGATGGCATTTTGCAAAAATGTAATCTTCAATGAGTGTGAAATGATCAGAGAAAGCAGTGGTCAAAACTGTAGAGATAGCACACATGATAAGAGAGGAGCAGACTGGAACAATGTGGAGAAAGGGAGAGTGAAGCCATGAGCCAAAAGGAACTGTAAAAAGTACAAGTTAGAAGACAAATAAGGTCAGGTTCATCTGGCATGATTCCAATGTCAGGAGGCTGGTAGCATGTTCACTAATGTGAACTCTGGAGGACTGAGGCATTTAGGTGATGTGACTGTAGAAGATAATGAGGGTAGCAGAATCTAGACTGCTAAAACGTAATTAGATTGTACTAATGTTAAGAAGAACAGTTGAGTGAAAAGTCAAAAGTTGAGGATCCAATTAATAGCTCGAGCATTGAGATCAGTTACATCGAGACCAAGGCTAGAGTGCAAAACCGATATATGGGAGAAAATGAATGTCAGCATTTCTCTTTTACAATAGTATTATTTTGTAGCTCCCCCCCCAATTCTTAAACTACTTATTTCAGGAGGTTTAAAAATGTGTAGATTCTGTTAACTTCTTGTTTTGGTAATAGGGGTCTAGCTTTATTCGCTGTATCAAACCGAACTTAAAGATGACAAATCACCATTTTGAAGGAGGACAGATCCTCTCTCAGCTTCAGTGTTCAGGTAATGTATGCCTCTGACATTTTTCCCCTCTTTTTATTACTTTGCATATTATAGATTGACCTAAGTTTGAAACGTGTGAGGTGGAAGCAATATTTCCTTGCTTGAACTGTTGCTTTCTGGAAGGTAGCTTATTTATGCCTTATGAACAGTTATTTAGATTCTTATAACTTAGCTCTCGTTTTAGTCAATAGAACCCTAAAAATAATTCTTCTGAACAGCCATAGAAGTCTCTTATTCGCAAGCAGAGTTGATGTAATTTCCATCAACTGTTTTCCCATTGATTGTAATGAGAGTTTGGACACCAGGTGCATGTGTAAGAAGCCGTGTAGCCATATATTGGTACATAAATTTAGGTTTCCTGACCTGGAGCTGAATCCATCTCGTTGTGTTGCTACAATGTTAAGAGGGCAGCAGTTCACTCCAGAACAATAGAATTCCTTTAAATTACTGTGGCAGTTGACGTGTTAAAAACACCTGTGTGCATTTAGAGGCAGCCAGTTTTAGCTGAGATATCTAATAATTGAAACACACCAGTTTTCTTTGATTTTTATAGGTGATAGAGTTGAATTGTATCATTATGCTTCTTCAAAATTTCTTTGTATCACTATTAATTTGATTTGGAGTTGAACTTCCAACAAGGGCACTTCAGCATTGTCTTTCCTGTTGCTTTGTATACTACAGATTGCAATGCTGCATTTTCATTACTCTTGAAATGCTAGGTGCTTTCCAATTTTACTGCTTTATTTTAAAGAGTTAATATTCACAGTTTTGCTGATGCCCCACGGTATAATGGAAGGAACTGCTTGCTTGGGAATTAGAGTGCTGGTATTACCATTCTTCCTAGGGTGTTTGTTCATCAAAGTACTTCAGTATTTTTTTTTTCCCTCTTCTGTATTTTTGTACTTTCAGTAGCTTGTGCTTAGCTTTTTCTCTGTTTGAAGATACTTCCAGGTGCTGCAGCTGATGTTTTGACAAGTCCACATGTTTAACGTGTCTTGTTACGTTCACAAAAGCTTAACAAATTTTCAGCAATTAGAATTCCATTAACATTCATTAATAGTAGATTTCTTCAGATTAACAGCATTTGGCATGTCAGAGAGGAAAAAATAACAAATTAGCTCCCCACTATCACCACCAATTGCCGTGTTTTACAGTAGTCTTACAAGCTCACTTTTTCTTACGTCCTTACTTTGGCAACAGTAAATGAAGCTTGATCTGTTAAAACAAAAGTATAACATGTAATGTTACAAGAGCAAGATGTAATGCTATAAAATCTTTTTTGAAAAGAAACACTTAGTGTAAACAAATCAAATTTCCGTTGAAAACAAACATGCAAAAGATTAAGTTTAAAGACAGCAACTACAAGTTAAGGGCTAACTCAAAAGCTGACGTGCAAAATCTGTTGATAGGATTATGTAAAGCAGTGGGCAAAAACCAGCATAGACTGTGCTGCTGGAAGTAATTTGAACCTTGTACTAACTCTGTGTCTGTACTTTACTGGTGTCCCAGTTGCAGCCAAAATGCAGTAACAGTATTTGGGACATTAAAATTACATGTTAGCAGCTGATAACCTAGTACTGCAAGCACAGTAAATGTTCTAGCACTGCACAGGTATTTGACATGGCATCTGCACCTCATCTCAGAAGTACCATTGACATAATCAAAATAAAATGCCTGGTCGGGCATTATTTGTTGTTTTTTTTTTTTTTCCTTTAAAAATGAAAAAGTCAACTCTGCTAAAAAGAAAGAAATATTTAGAAGAAACATTAGAAAAAAAATCCTCTGCTTGATTGGGTGTTACTTAGCTCTCAAATAGGGAGGAAATTGAATAAGCTTTTCTCATCTGTTTAGTATTTACGTTTTGTGAATGATCACATGATCAAGAAATGTTAAAGGCTGGATCAAGTCCCAGCTGAACTTTGTGGTTTAGTCTCTTTTAGTGTCTTTGCTTATGTCATAAACTACTGGTTATCATAAAAATTACTACCTCATTTGCATTTTACCAATAGCAGGTTTTGTGCGTGTGTTTCTGTGAATTTAGGAATGGTGTCAGTTCTAGATTTGATGCAAGGTGGTTTCCCATCGCGAGCTTCATTTCATGAACTATATAATATGTACAAGAAATACTTGCCTGAAAAATTGGCTCGACTGGATCCTAGGCTCTTTTGCAAGGTGAGCAAGAAATTAATTTTTCTTCTATATCATCCAGGACATAAAATTTATTGTGGGATTTTATTTGTGTGGGTTGTTTTTGTGGGGTTTTTTTGTTTGTTTTTTTGTGGGTTTTTTTAAGGAGGCAGAATATAATACTGTTTTCTGTATTTCAGGCACTATTTAAAGCCTTGGGACTGAATGAAAATGATTACAAATTTGGACTAACCAAGGTGTTTTTTAGACCTGGCAAGGTAATGTTTCCCTTGGAGTTCATGAATGTGAATCTTAGAATTACTTTCGATTGGAAGCAATCTCTGAAGGTGACATTGTTCAAAACGTTGCTAAAAGTGTGGCCAACTTAAATAAGGTTGCCTAGGTTTTTTGTGAATGCTGTTCGTTTTCTATGAAAAAAATCAATATTAATACTGATATAATTGTTTCATAGTCTTGTTGCTAATGCTGCGGTATTCCTAATGCAACATTTGTATTCCCAGATGTTCTACCAGTCACTTAAGACTTATGTTGACTGTTAAAAAGAGCAAGTCAGAGCAAAGAAAAAGTATTTTCTATTAAAATCTCTTTATAGCTGAAATCTCTTTCTTTGATTCTGAGCATTGCTGCTGCTATGCAGAGAAAGAAGATGAAGTAGGAAACTGTTGTATCTAGAAAGGAAAATTATTGTAGTCCCAGAAGAATGTTCTTACAGTTGTAATTACCAAAAAGTAGAAGTGCAGAAATTTCAAAAAATGTTGCCCTTTAATTGGACCCTTATTCAAAGGTTAAAAATTGAGAAGTGCTTTCAGGGCTTTTTTTTTTCCCCCAGATACAGAATTAGTGGTGTCTCGAAGTTGTGGAAGGCTAGAGTAAGTGTTCAAGATATAGAGAAGCAATTAATTTTTTAAATTTTAGCAGTAAATATTTGTAGTGATTAATAAATGGTTGGATTATTCAGAATGCTGTGTTGCACGTCAATTAAACAAATAAACAAATGAAAAACCCCAGTAGTCATTTCTGTTATCATTAAAGAATAAAGTGATGCCAGACATACCTGCTCACTTGAATTTATTAAAAGCTGATATAATGATGACACACAGTTTACATTTAAAATATGTTACCTTTTTAACTCAAATTGCTTTTAAATAATAATGTCTAGCACTTTCTGTTCTCCTAATATGTAAAACTTTTTTTCAATTATTATTTAGTTTGCAGAGTTTGATCAGATAATGAAGTCTGATCCAGATCACTTAGCAGAGCTGGTTAAACGAGTGAATCGCTGGCTTATCTGCAGTCGTTGGAAAAAAGTTCAGTGGTGTTCACTCTCAGTGATTAAATGTAGGTATTTTATGTTTTATTAATTCAAAATATTTGTTAAAAATGTAGCAAAACAATTATCGCCGTGAAATGTAGCTGAGGACATGTATAGCAGGTGGTTACATACTAAAGTCAGAGTAATTGATTACAAGGTTGGTGAGACACTTATTTTTATTTTTTTATACTTTATGTTAGGTTCATATAGAAGGGCTTAGAGCAGACATTTTTCAAAGCAGGACATATGACTCACCATGAATCTCCCGTGTCCAGTCTGCTTGGGTGCTTACCAAAGCCTGATTAAACACTTGTGCAGAAATAACTGGCTATCACGGGTCTTCTGCATCTGCAGAAAAGGAGTTCAACTCTCAGCTGACAGTGTGCAGTCATTTAATTCTGGGAAGTGTCTGCACAGAGGTTGTCATCTCTGGACAGAAACTGGGGGTTTGAAATTGAGTTACGGGGCAAACGTCTCTACTCCAGCAATTACTGCTGATCAGCAAATAAGTGCCTATAACTATTGATTGATACGCAGTTTCTAAGTGCTTGGCTTGCCCAGTTTACTGTGCAGAGTAGGAAGGAGGTGGTGTGGAAGAGATTGATGCTTGTGGGGTGCTTCAGTAAAGGTGTCTGGGAGATGGGGAAAAGTCTGATGCAGGCTGTCAGGGTTCTATAGTAACACGGAGGATGGAAAATATACATTAAGATGGGGAAGAAAAAGCATATAGGCCTCATGCCTTATGGCTGTGCATTTGGGCCAGCACAGTCATGTCCCTGTCACTGATTGCACACTATTTGTTGCTGTTTATATGGGGGCAAATACAACCTGTGAATTCTTATCGTATAGGTTTCAGACATCAGAAATTTTAACACTAAAATCGTGTTTTTGACCTAGAAATTTATGCCGTTTAGTCTGCTTTTCAGAAAAATAGGATGGAAAGTCTGGCACTGTGTCCAAAAAGTAGAAACCCAGGGACATAATATGCCGATTTGATGTGACTTACTCATTTTTTAGTATTTTACGGGAAATTAGAAGCTAATTTTGTCCCCAGAATAAAGCTGAAATAGATACACGAAAAGTAGAGTGCATCTTTGTCATCACCTAACTCCAGTATTTAAATATCACTGTGTTAGCACACAGTGTGCTCAGCATAGGACTAAAGGCAGCATGGATCCTTCGGTGTCTGCTTCCTCTAGTGGATACGTAAAAACTGCATTTATTTTTGCACGTCTGAGCTACTCAGCTCGCGTGCTTGTGCCTGTACTTTGACATTATGCTGTTTAGCTTGCCTCCTGCTCCCAATCATTAGAGCCTTTAGATGAAGACTGTATTAGAGCAACAACTGGAGGGTTTGTTTTGCGTGCTTCTATTTCAGTATTGCAGAGAAATGCTCAGCAAAGTTGCAGCCACTTCATTATCTTTAGCACATACTGGCTACTTCGTTACCCTTCAGCACAGGACTTAGACATGGAGCTGAGTGTTTTCCGCTTGCTAGATCCAGAGACTTTTCACTGTGGTTACTGATGTCTATGAATTGGGAGGACAGGGACTGCACACGTGATTGTTCACACACTTAATTCTTCCTGTTTGTTTAGAGTGGGAGCCTCTGTGCCTGGCTCAGGATTGTGAATTCTGTTGTCTGGCTCTCAAGCACAAGTAGTCTACATACAGTTTTGAGCCAGCAAGTGTGTGAGTAATATAGGAGCTGTGTTAAACTGTATAAACCATTGAGACTCAATATCTTCTGTGTGTTCACAGTGAAAAATAAGATAAAATATCGAGCCAGTGCCTGTATTAAAATACAAAAGACTGTTCGTATGTGGCTTTGCAAGAGAAAGCACAAACCACGGTAAGAGGATATTCCTTGGTTGAAGAAAATGGATTTTTAATAATGTTTCCTTGTGAATGTAAAGAGGAGATTTACTATGCTTAACTAAATGTATCTGAAGTCATAGAATGATGCTAAGTATGACTGAAAGAGATACTGAGAGATGCTGTGTTCCTCCTTTCTTTCCCAAGGATGAATAGGCTGAATCTGAACCTTTCCTAAGAGATTGATTAGCTCTTAGTTCATAAAATCCTTCAGTGATAGCCTAGTTATTAGAAATCCTTAGTTAAGTCTCTCTAAATGAAATCTAAGCTCATTAATTTTTATCCTTTACCTGTTCATACTTTCCTTTATAGGCCTCCTTTCTCTTTAATCTTAAAAATAATTGTGTGTTCTGTCTGTCTTGTCTCCTCTGAAAATTAAGTAATTCTATTAGCTTTAATCTGACTGCATGGAATACTGATGGAAAAACCACTTCCATCATTAAGCTCTGCTGACACCTTTTTGTTCTTTGATAAGGATCCAACTCTCTAATCTTTACTAGTGGGGTTCTTATAAAATGTTTTCATTTGCGTCCTTTGATAGTTATGTTTCATTTTGTACCTTGGCATTTCTGACCATGTCCCTATATTTTTAAGTGGTGCTGTACTCATCTTTAATGATTTGATGTAGTTTCTACTTTTTGTGTGTTGTTTTCCTGAATCCCAGTTCAGTGATTTCTTTCTAGGAAGACCATCCCTGCAGAGTTATAACTTGTGTATGTGACCTTCAGTATTGGTTCTTTAAAAAGCTCCAAATTTTCCTGGACTCTTCTTTTCCCCAGACTTCTGTTTTTCTCTGTGGGGTCTAATGACTGAGTTACCTGCTGTGTACTTAAGTTTTATCTGATTCTGTCCCATTATTGCTCTTTGAGTAAGTGATACAACTGAACCTTTATCCACTCCAGTCAAAATCCTCTAGTGGATACTAATGATTCGTTACTGGAAAAAAACCAACAACCAACCCCACATTAATTCTCAAAATAAAAATGTATTTTTTCCATTTTGACTGACTGTCTGCTAATCAGTTTTAGTTATTGTTTGCAAAAGGCTCCACTGCTTAGTTACTTCATGTGACAATGTTTGAATTTCGAAAAAGGAGAGTGAATTTTATCAGAAGGCATAACTTGTGTCCCCTATCTACCTCTTTAATGTGAGTGATCAGTGGTAGTTTTAAAAATAAGACCTTGTGAAAACATCTCAAGATGCAAATAAACTGTCTTACCTTCACAGCATTGATGGCCTGATAAAAGTGCGTACACTGAAGAAGAGACTTGGTAAATTTAATGAAGTAGTGAGCGCTCTGAAGGAGGGGAAGGCAGAGACAAGCAAGCAGGTCAAGGACCTGGAGTGTTCTATTGATGCTTTAATGACCAAGATTAAGGTATGATAATAATAAAAGAAATAGTTTCTTATTACTGTTTTTTTTTTTTTTTAAATTTAATCTAAAGTAGAAGGCCAATGTATTTTTATTACTACAAAAGGCATTTTAATGTAGAGGTCTTAATTTTCAGGAACTTAATTCAGGCACTGGGTAAATCCTGTTTAAAATTATTTCTCAATGTAACTGAACTGAATCCTGAAACTGGGTGCATATGTCTAGACTTTGGTATTATTATCTGTTTCAAATTTGGCACTGGAGAATTTAAAGCAAAAATGCATGTTGATATTGTGAGACAAGTTTTGTTAATAATTTGCTTGTTGCTTTTATTATCAGAATAATGTGTTTTAGCAATATTTTAAATTATTAAAATGTACAAGAATTTATCACAGAGTGAAGAGATTTATGTTCCATTTAGGAGGGTTTTTTTCAGACTTGGTAGTAAAGAGAATTGAGCTTGCTGATTATGCTTCAGGGTCTATAGTTCTCATATTCTTACCACAAAAGCACACAGACAAAGTCAAAGCACACTGGGATTTATTAATGCTGGAAAAAATTTGATGTCTTGAATTTTTGTTACATGCAATGTTACAGCTTTCTTAGTGTACCATATTAAGATTTTTCAATTTAAAATCATGGTTGAAAAGATGATAGAGTTAACCTGCCAAATTATAGTTCTATTTTTTGATGAAAATAGTTTGATTATCATCATGATACGCCCTTAGAAAAGGTCAGCAAACGCCCCATATCGCAGTTTGGTTAGTGTACATCAATATGAATTGTAATATGAAAGTAAATTGGATCTATTGATGAGATTTGAAAACACATATAGGCAAGGCTATCGTTTTAAGTATTTTTGACCTGTTATTTTCTACTAATACCTTTTTTAAAAAAAGTTAGTCACAGCATGATTGGTCCAATGCTTATTCTGAGTGCTAGCACACACTGTAAGAGAAGCTATTCTGTGCCATGACATAAAAGGCAGAGCTGTAAATAACCACTACAGAAGCGAAGAAGAGGACACAAAATGCATATAGGCCCTTAGTTTTCATCTTAATATGGTAAGAATTAATCTCTGTTGCTTAAAACTGCAAGGTTTAAAAAATGAAGGTGTGTTTTGAAGAGAAGTCATGTTTAATTTGAGTGATAAAATGAAGATTACTTTGTATGGTTTTAAATGAGAGAGGAGAGTAATGGATCTCCAGGATTGGGGGAAGCTAATCCCCACCCTGAAGTGTACATATAATTTAATTATACTGTTCAACGCTCTCATTTCACTTAATATTTTTTCAATATACAGTTTTTAAAAGTGAAGCACAAACTTAAAATAATATAATGCCATAATATTTCATTTTGCAGACCACTATAATGACTAGGGAACAGATACAGAAAGAATATGACGCTCTAGTTAGAAGCTCAGAGCAGCTTCTGAGTGCACTGCAGAAGAGGAAACAGCAAGAGGAGGAAGCAGAGAGGCTACGACGTATCCAGGAGGAAATGGAAAAAGAAAAAAAGAGACGTGAAGAGGAAGAGCAACAAAGAAGGAAGGAAGAGGAGGAAAGACGTCTGTGAGTCTTGAATAAGTTACTGGTTATAGAATGAGAAGAAAATAGGAAAAGCACTTTGGTGAGATCGTTTTTAGTACTCCTATGCTTAAACAGAGCCACTTGGATTGTACTCCTGGTGTTCTATGCAGAGTTAAAACATTTCCTTTCCTAGTGATGTAAGGTAATCATAGTCAGAATAGAATATGGAAAAAATGATGTGATGCAGCTAGAAATACAGATGGACTTGGAAAGTTTCTTGACTTTAATGTTGTGTCCCGTCATCAGGACTGTACTGACTTCTGGATTACCGTTTGGTTTTATGGAAGATACGTTCCTATTTCTTGTTCACTTGTGTTGTAATAACAAGTTTGCATTTTATCCTCCTCTTTTGTAATAGGAAATCTGAGATTGAGGCAAAGAGAAAACAAGAAGAGGAAGAGAGGAAAAAGAGGGAAGAGGAAGAAAAGCGTATTCAGGTTAATGTTTTAGCTGTGTGGGGGTTGTTTTTTTTTTTGTTATTGGGTTGATTTTGGGTGTTTGGGTTTTTTTTCAGGTTGGTTGGGTTTTTTGTGTGGGTTTGTTTTTTTTTTTTTAGCTTAGATTCCCCACTTAGTCTAACAGCTTCATTTTTTAAATGTGTGTCTCAGAGTCATTCAGCAGTGTTGCTTTAGTAGTAAATGTAAGGTGAAAATCATGATTAGGACATCCCAAGACTGATCACCTGTTTCTGGTCCATATGCAAGTTCAAGTCTTCTGAGTAGAAGTGCATTTGTTTTTAAAAGGTTTTTAAAGTTATTTTAGAGTTAAAAATACACAACACTGGAGAATCCTAGTTTAGCCTTTGAAGTTTTTGCAGATGTTCCATGTCAGGCAAGTTTGGCAATCTTTTACTAGAAGTCACATCTGGACTCAGGCTGTGTCATCTACCAGCTTAACTATAAGCAATTCCAGAATATTGGTAATAATGAGAAGATACAGGACTGTCTCTAGTAGCCCCTTTGGCTACACTGATGTAGAATAAATACATGCAGGTGAAACCCTGCCCCTCCACCTCTCCCCCTTGATTCCTGACACTTTTTACTGATCTCATCATGGACTCTCACTCTGAAGTGTGTTTGGCCCCTGTGCCCTTGTTTTCCCCTTGACATGGAGATTGCCTGGGTGACCTGGGAGAGCAATCTCAGAGAAAAAAAGCTTCTCTGTTGGGGCAGTTGTAGCAAGTGCAGGGTCATGGACCCTGTTTACAAACTCTTTTAAGCCGTGTACATGATTAATAATCATAGAATCGTAGAATCATAGA